ACTGTAAAACAGAGTTTACAAAACAAAATCATTCTCATTTTGCCGTCGGGCTTATTTAATTTCACGCAGCCAATATATTCAACGATATATCTAGCTAGGTACCAGCTATACAATACAGTCCCCCGACGCAGGTGAAACGAGAACAGCGAAGTAAAAACGTTCGTATTGTTTCACGTATTTCATTTTGCACCGAGCAGCAATTCGGAATTAATTTAATTAAAACACGCGTACGAAATCATCGCGGCCCCGCGGACACACAACAGTGGCATCATGCTAGCGGGCATAGGTCGAGATGTGTTTCCGGATTCGGATTCGTGAACTCGCACGTTTGCTCGCAGGTCTCGTGAGTTTTGTAATAGAGACGGATATACTATTATTTTGATCAAAATTATTATTGATGCGACATTTAGTTTCAAACCCTCTGTTGAACAACAACGTACAACTTTCTCGATTTATATGTTCCGAGGATGCTATGCGGAACGCGTCTATTCCTCCTCGAGGCTCGTCTGGAGGGATTTGCAGTATTATTGCTCGCACATCGTCGGTAGTTTTGTCTCGCTCGAAATGAAGTTACACCGGAAACCCATGGTTTACAGCCAATGGCTCGGCCGTGTATAGTACAACACCCAAAGGCGGTCAAACTTACGCGGGGACCAATTTTTTTATTTTCCTTATCTCCCGCGCAGCGTTTCGGAAGCGTAGTTTAACTATCACTTACAACAAAATATGTAAATCATTTACATTAGACTCGGCGTGCGGCCCGTTTCCTTTAGACCACATCGTAAATCGCCGCTTTATTATACAATACACATAATTATCTTCGCGGAAACTGTCGAAAAAGTTGTGCATCTGAAACATATTAAATATATACGTATTATATTACGTTCGATGTTCATGTTATATTTATATGCGTCATATATGCATAGTTATATAGATATATGTGTATTTAATTTTAATTTCACTAAAAGGTTTGTAATATGTAATTTATCGTTTTGCGATATTACCAGATCGTGGGATTTAGTACTATTGTCTGAACTGTATGATATGTTATTATTGTAAAATGTTTAAATAATCCTAAATATATTAATATCATGTGTTTTTAAAAATATTATTTTTACGAAATTTCAAGCCATAAAATCACAACATGTTTTTGCAAAAAAAAAAAATTAGAAGTTTACTATTTTTACCATTATATTTATTTACCTATTTATTTATTTATTTTTATTGACGTGCTTTTGAAATTTAATATTATAATATTTTATATTTAAATAGCAGTTAAATAGCTATAAGTATATAAACATACACATTTTAAATTAACAGAGAAATGCACAAACAATATGCTACAAGATGAATACATTTACCACGAGGAAATGAGTAATTCGTATATTAATAATAATTATTCTATATTAGTATATTGGATGTGTAAGATGTTAAATCGATGGTGCAATATACCATAATGTAAAGATGACTAAACGATCTCATTTTTGATACGTATATTTTGTTGTACGAGTTATACAATGTAAACGTATTTATATGATGCAGCCGGAAACTACACAAATATAAAACCAAATAATAAATTACACGAAGTATAATAGGCGAAGATATGCCCATTTATTGTTATTATTATTAAATATCATATTCTTTATTTGTTAATATTGATCATTTTATTATGTAATAAATATATTTAAATTTGATATTATACACATTATTGATGTTGCTAAATTATATAATTTAAGTTAGATTAATAACCTATATTCTAAAAGTTGCAAATATTATTATACAGCATTTTTTTTTTTTTAATTATGATTTAAATGACACGAAATTTTATACTAAAATATAAAATACGACTATTTAAGCAAATGTTGTAAGAAGAAAATTAAAAAGAAAATAGAAAATCACTTATAATGATATCATTGCCAATAACTTAAACTTGTAAAGTTTACTTTCTTTTAATATTTTTACAGTGCTGTATATAAAAGTATTCAATCTATCTTTTAATATTTATCAGTTTATTTAGTGTCTTTATAATAATGTTGTGATCCAATATATTTTGTATAAAAGCTTTAACACTAAATACAAATAACTAAAATTATATTTAAGAAACACAAAAATAATAAATCTTGAGAAAAATAGTTTAATTAATTATAAAGTTGGTATTATGTTTCTATATTTATGATAATTATTTTTATTTTTTTCTATTGAAAGAAAAATAATTTTTAAGTATTAAATCATTCTGCCTGTATAAACTAGAGACTTTTATTCGAATTTTGATTTAATCAAAGTTCATTAAAACATATAATACAGAGTTTTAAATATAAAAAATTATCATAAATCTCTTGTAATATTACATACTTATACTTTATTTTTGTGGTTATAAATCTTTTTTTCAAAAGTTATCACTAGTAATTAATTACCTTTAAGCACCTTGGATTACCTTAGACACCATTAAAATATCTTACAATATTCACCAAAGTATGTAAAGATATGAATTAAATATAATATAAGCCACCACACTTTTTTGATTAAAAAGCACGAAACTTTTACTACCCACCTAAGTTTTTGATTACTACCTATATAGGTATTTCACGCAAATTCAATAGACAACTTGTTATTAATGTGTTGGCGTGTTAGAACTTAGAAGCTTATGGTTGATGTTATAGATAAACAAAATAATAACTATTTACTTAACATATTCAAAGTGAATGTGGTAAAATTTTACTAGAAACTTGTAACATTTAGACAAAGACAATAAGATATAATGTATTGTACTCGTAATATATTTTATTATGATTATAAGCTATTAATAGTATACATATAAACGATAATAAAACTCAATAATACGAGTATATTTAAGTTATTATTTTTTGAGACAATTTACATAGTTTCCTTAAGAAACATTATTATTTAATCGTATATATCTTAATTAGATATAATAATATATTGAAAAAATAATATAATTTTCTCATCATATATTTATTATTCAGTATAAATTTCGTTTATGTCATGTTTTACCTTTCAGGAAATTCAATTGCTTTTTTTTTATTTATTGGTTGTAAAATATATACATCTGATGCATGGTGAAAAATATTTACAATTTTTAAGAGACCAAAATATTAAATGTCATTTATTTAATTGATTTAATGGAATATAATTGGTATTTCATGTTATAATGTAATTACTAATTACGTATTAATAAGAAAAAAATTTAATTTAAATAAATTAAATACGAAAGAGTCTTATATTTGTACTACATAAACTCATCCTATCACCCAGAAATATTTTTCAAAGACAACATTGATTCACCATATTATATTTCCAAATTTACAATATACTCTAACCTAATAATGTAGTAGTTTCTTAAGTTAATGCGAGTAAATCAAGGAAATTCTTATTCTTATCCGACTTTTATATAACCTATAGGTATCTTAATATTATAACATTTTATTATTTTGATATTAAGCCAAGCTAGAGGTGATACGTATACAGATAGTTTTATTTTTTGCGTTATTAACATTTCTTACGAACACTTTAACGGCCAAAAATGCTTATAAAATTTCATATATTACTATTTTAAAGATTTAAATTTGAAACTTGATTCAAATCTATGGAGAGGTTATTTTCTCGATAGTTCCTTTAAACATAAAAAAAAAATAATAATAATAACAACATATGTAGAAATGTTGGTATTATATAAGCAGTAAACTAATAATGTTTTCGAATCCGATTATTTGTTATTGCTTTTAATACAATGCCAACCAATACTTTGCGCCAAAAAGCATAAAGCGAAACAAGTTTTGTGCATCGTAATTCTTTATCATGATTTATATTATACACAATACGATCCTAATATTAATATATTAAAATTTTTTAGTAAAATTAACAATTATAGGCCCAAGACAACAAATACAAATAGATTTTGATATCGCTCTTAAAACATTATAAAATTAATAATTAAATAACACTCGATCGTGTTTTTAAACATTTAGTTTTACAATTGGTTTATTTTAATTATTTGCTATTATATTTATAATCCATATAATATTTAAGTACCTCTGTAATTTTAATCAATATATTATATTTTTATAAAAAAATATTCTTATTTGTAATCATTATTAAACAAATATTAAATAAAAGAAACTTTTTAAAATGATCTATATAAGTGCTTTGCTGATTTGATATTTCTCGATTTTCTATTTATATTTTTATAAAACAAATATTAAACGTTACAGAAATGCAAGTTGGGTAAAATATTTTAATGACAAAGTATTGTATAATATAATGGAAATATAAAACGAATTGTGCTAAAATTTAAATGCTCAAATCCTGTTTTGAGAATTTACAATGACTAACATTCACGACATTTTGTTCTCAGTCGAAAAAGCTTTTATTTATAAAATAATTCATTTAATTTAAAACAAATATTGCTTTGGTTAATAAATTTTGTGTTTTCATTGAACTACATAGTAAAAATACAACTAAATTTATGTTTAAATATTTGTATGTGTACCTAACATGCATAAGCACTTAAAATCTAAAAACAATGTAAACAATATTTTAATCAGAATAATTTTATTAGTTATCGATTATGATAAAAATTGAATATTACAAAACACATTATTCCGGTGTTATTCAATTTTTTTTTTTTTTTTAGTTTTTTTGAACGCTTATGAAAACTATTGTTATACTGGTAAATTTGAATTCAATCAATTAATTTTTTACCAAAAAATCTTAAAAACATTTTACTTTTGAATACATACGACTAAATAAATGTATTATTAAATAAAACATTAATAGTTAAATATAATGTATGATATATACTTAAAATTACTTAAGATGTTACTTTAGTGTTTTACTATTATGTTTCTCTCTTTTTAGAATATAATCATAAATAAGATGACCACCAGCTATTTGTTTAAATTCAAACCATATAATCACATTCTGAATACTGAATCAAATTAAATCAAATTTGTGTGTATTAATATTTAGTTTAATCGTTTCAGATACAAATATTGAATAAATCTACATATTTTTGCTAAAGATCTGTTCGACTTCAGAGAAAACCAAAATCATTTATTAAGTACGCAACCATGTAGGTAAGACAAATCACATTTAAATATTTAAAATTACTTAATAAGTTTAAACATTTGTGAAAGCATGTTAAAATATGTACAATTTGATTTTGCTCGTAATAAAGATAAAAAGAAATATGATATAATATATGATAACATTGTTTACTGTTAAAAATTGTTACGAAAATGTACTAAGATTTTAATAAAATGAGTACAAAATATTTTTATTATTTACACACATAGATTTACATATTATACAGTGTACAATTTTAGACTTTTAACTACTTAACAAAGTGTAGTTCCTACTTCTCATTTTTTTTTAAATAAGACACTAAATTTAACTATTTTAACCAGACAATTCTTCTTAAACTTACCACTCCTATTATTAATATTTATATAATGAAAATTATATTTTTTGAGTTTGTGACATGTATGCGCGCACAAATACTAAATCGTTTTTGATGGTATTTTTCAAACAATTAAATTTTATATTTATGAATGTTTTATTTTTAAAATAAAAAGAGACATTTTTATTTAACATATTGCGTGTAATGTTGATTTTCAAAACATTTTTTAATTTAAAACTAACTATATTAAATATAATTATTTCATATAAATAATTGGTTTTCATTCTTGGTTTTAATATTTTATTATTCAGTAAAAATCTATAGCAATATTATTGATTATATATATATATATAATACATGCATGCATTTATTGATAAGAAATCATTGTAAGTACCAACCATAAGTATTGCAGTTTAATAAATTGTAACCAAAATAATTTAATAATATTTATTATTATATTATAATATAATAACAACCATATTCAGGCGTTTCTAATGTGAAACATCTTTACAATGTTTTTTTTTTTTTTTTTATCGTCTAATACTAAATTCCATTTATCTGCTTATTGTACTCACTTAAATAAATTTTAAATTTTCATTAAATAAATATATATATATTTAGATGATAGTGTTAATATAATAAATTTAATAATAATAATTCAATTAAGCTGTTATACAAATATTTTTTTTTTAAATATGTAATAAATACAAAGAAAAATATTTTTTATTTTTTTATGTAATGAAATGTTTATTATTATTTGTTATATAAATAATTCGTTAACACAGTACAATTATATAATGGTTTATTAATTATTTTTTGAATTTACATCAATAAGTATGAACATTTTATTTTATTATATTTTTAAATTATCATTTATCATTTATTATACACTTATAGAACATGTTAAATGTATTAAAACCACTAAAATTTCTTTTTGCCCTATAGTTGCGTTTCAAGTTCCTATAAAATACATTTGACCCTTTATTTAATTCAATTGTATTATTCAATTATTTGAATTATTGGTCAAGACCTTTCGATTACTGTAGAGTACGTTATATAGTGAACTCATTGTCAAGTGCATTGTATAAAATCCCAAGGGAGGTAGATCTAACGAAATGGTTCTTAACCAATGCTTTGTTGATTATAATATGATTGTTGTATTCATCCCCTTCTTTTCGTCGTAAAATGTCAGTAACATCAAGTAAATATTTTAATGGTAAAGTAGAAATTAAAGTGCTTTATTTATTTATTTTTCTAAGGGAATTTTCCTAAAAAGTGTCTGTATGTAGTATTAATTACTACTACAGGGAAGCAAAATAGCTAAATATTTTTGAAAAAATGTCAAATAAAATATTAATAAATTATATTATTATTATTGATATTTATAATAAATTATAAATAATAAACGCCTGTTGATTATCATTATTTCAAATGTATATTAATTCACTATATTTAACTAATAACAATTTACTTTTATTTGATACACATGTTTAAAGAATAGTTATACCTATATACTATATAGTATATAGTGTACCTATATAATATACTTTTATCTTATAAAATTGCAATAGATTAGATTTTATTTTGATTAAATGTTTAAAACAATAATTTATTATCAAAATATACAAAAGATCTAATTGTTTTTATAGTATGATGTAATATGCTATTTTAAAAATGAAAATAAAAAAAATAAGTCGATGTATAATTTATTTGAATATATTATGATTATTAGCTAACAAAAAATTAAAAACATATATTTTATTTATTAAAATGTATTATTCAACGACAATATTATGTTTTATTTTTCATTTTTATGTAATGAAATTTTATGGATTAACTTTTGTTGACTTCTGTTACTTGTATACATATTTTATATAAGAATCTATTATTTAATTTTTTTTTAAAAAATTAAAATTATTTGATTTTTAATGTGTAAATAAAAAAATATAGCATCATGTCAGTTACATACTGTTAAATACGTTTAAACAAATCTCCGGTTTAGATTACAAATTTAATATAAAACTACCAATGTATAAATTGTGTGTTATGTAAAAAAAAGAAATGCAATCGGTTTTAAACGTAGCCTTTTAATTCAATGTTGATCTACATGAATATATAGATACAAAAATATATTATATTATTTTAATTGTTATAGTTTTAAACAAGTTTTACTATTTGATAATTTAACCTTTAAATTATATTTTGCTATCTATACTAACGAAACGATTTGCATAGGAAGCATAATAATAATGTAAGGTATAATAATTAAATTAAAATCAAACTATTATAGTAGCTGGTTTGAAACTCATTTAGTTATATTCAGCTATTACAAAATGAATCGATACTAGTCTATTTTAGTTTTACCACCCTGACTATATTTACAATATTTGTACGTCTTGATAAAATAATAAGAAGTATGACGTAAAGGGAAAAAAAAATTTTAAAAGACATAGTTATATCAGCTTAATTTAAACGGAACTACTTATTATAGACACGTTACATTGCATTATTATATAACACATTATACTGATCACGTTATTATTTTATTGCTTATACAATGATGACCTATAGTTATATCATGATAGGAATTTAAAGACAATATAATAATATTTGTAAACATTGATGTTTCGTGCGAATTAAACATTACTGTTTTATAAATTATCATTGTAAATTTGTACCATTAAAAACAAAACAAAAAAAAACCGTTCGCTGTTAAATGATCAACGCCAATCGAACTACCACGTTGTTAACAAAATACTATATTAATTATATAATTAAAATATTTAAAACAAACAAATTATTATCGTACACATTTATACCGTTGTGTGAATTTAATTTTACTTAAAACCGCTATATTTAAATACCATCAAAAAGCTATATATTATAGTAAATTTACACCAAAATTCAAATAGATTATTTTTAGCAAAAATACGTTTCGAATGATTCAATAGTAAAATGATGGTGACACAGATGGCATATGTTATAAAAAAACTAATAACTACAAAATGTTACGTTTAAGATTTTTAATGGTTATTTCACTAATTTATTCACATCATTCTACAATACGTCAGTATTGTCATTAAAGATACCTACTTAATAATAATAATATAAAAAAAAATATCCCATTATTATAATAATTAATATAATAAATGTATACATTTATTATTGATATATGTATAAAATTAACGAATATAATACTTTGTGTAATAACTATATATCAGATATTTAAGTTTATAATAGTTATTAAATAAGGCGATAGGTAGTTAGAAATACAGAAAAACTATTATTGTCATTCAAAAGTTGATGTCAAAGAGGGTATCCACGAAATAATCGAATACGCATAAATACTCATTTTAGTACAAATTACAAAAACCATTTTAGGCTACTTGCGATGGCGCAAATTATATTTAATATTATTTTTATTTTGGTACAGATTACTAGCTTTTGGCTAAAGTAAGTGTTGTTTTACTAGGATAAATTTTATAATTTTAAACATTGGTTCACAACTCACTACCGAGATCTTAAGTTCAAAAATCTAATTCAAACTTACGTGCAATACCCTATTATTAAATATTGTATTAGGTATATTATAATATTACAAAATATATTTGATGAATGGTTCCAAAACACTGTTACCCAAATTATATTTCATAGTATATTTCTTTATATTACCAATAAAGTGGTGGAAATCTTGCCTTGCTTGCGGTAAGATACACTGGTCCGTAGCTCATCGAACCAGTGTGAAATACGAGTTCATTATTTATGTAAAAATTATATTATTGTTTTTTGATAGAGAATCTAGGTGCATTGAATTGACCATCAAATCATGGTGAGGGTCTGGCATATTTACTACACCGTGGTTGTGAGAATATTGTATAGGATGATAAATATATTTGATATTGCATTTTATCGTATTAAGAATAACCACAGAGAGAAATAGAAACTTAAGAATAAATAAATTATACTACTGTTTTTAGATTTTAATCGGAACGAAAATGTATTAGTTTTAAAACCGTCTGTATTTTTATTTTTGTGTCTGAAGAACATTTATTCAAAACCATTCAATTTTTAAGAAATTTTCTAGTAATGGATTGGATCTAGTTGATATTTTTGGGAGGTGAAAATTAAAAATTCTGAATAATTTTTAAATAATCGGCAAAAATTACGAACATTTTTAAAATTGTATTATTATTATTATTGTTATTATTAAAATAAGTAAGTATATGTTATCTGGTAACATTGATTACCAGAAAGTTAGACCTTCGCTCACAATTATTTTTCATCATATACGATGATTTATCATTGAATTCAAATCTAACACACCCATTACTGTGTGGATCGTTCATCGCACCAGGGCGGCGCACACGACGTGGATAAAGCGATGCTAACCATATAAATTATGTATTATTTTCTCCTAATAATATTTCTACTAGCCTAAGTTTAATAAACATAAAGCACATTTTAAAGGGTATTTTTTTTAAAACTTTGTAAGCAACGGTTAGAAGACTAATGGGCTTACAGTTTGAATTAATTTTCACCAGGGACTACAGTCGCCGCCACACATATAGCTGAGGGAATCTAAAACTAAATTTAATAAAAAATAATAAATAAAAAATTAAGTTAAGTACTATTTTTATTTTTTTCTAAAACGAATGAATTGAAAGTAACGTAGGTATC